CCAGAAACAAGGAAAATGGCCAGTAAAAGAGCCCCCCGGGCGCGAGGAGGTTAGGTTAGGCTAGCGGAACGTGCATTTATTGGCCTTTTGACCATGATTTCGACCCGGCCTGCAGCGCGTCAAGGAGGTGGACTAAACCCGACTTGAACGCGTGCAATACGGGAGACAAAGACCCGTAAAGCAGCACCGAGTTCTGAACTCTCCAACGACATGTGGAGCCGATAGCCGAGTGGCGAGCGTGCCGGGGAAGTGCCCGGACACCCTCCCTCTCGGGATCGAATCCCGGCCGTGGAACTTTTTTCCACCTCCGCTGGTCATGTCTTTGGGCGTCAGCGACACCTGAGATCGGAATGTCGCCGGAACGTACGCCACTGCTGTTCCTCTGTGGATACATCGGTAACAAGCCGGCCCGGCATGTGGTTGGTTGCTGGTTCGAATACTATCTCAGGCCCATTTTTCGCGTTTTCATGGCCACAGCTATGTGGCAGCCACAGACATCGTAGATTGGCTCGACCCCTGAAGCACAATTTAACATGTACCCTTCGTGGCTACCTTGGTAAAGTGCCCAGTCATCGCGTGTATGTCCGCAGGTTCGGATCCCCTCCGGGAAACGTTTTTTCTGCTCTGCTGGCAATGTGTTTTCAGGCGTTGAGCGGCAGTACAGATAGGCTTGTCCGCTGCATCGTTTCCATCTCGCCTGCGTGGCTCCGTTGGTAGAGTATCAGTTCATAAGTGGCCTGATCGTGGGTTCGAATACTCCCCGTGGTTCATTTTTCCCGAGGTGGCCTCAGGTGGCCTGTAGAGACATATACGCAGAAGCGGACTTAGGTTCACCACCAGCAGCCAGTGGCCGCGTGGGTTAAGGCGTCTGGGACTGATCGCTTCGGTGTGGGAACGACTCCCACCCGAAGCGGGCGGTCCACGACTTTTCTCTCTTCTCCGCTCTCTATTGCGAAGGGGCGAAGGCACAAACAAGACTCTCGCAGCGATCAACAGTAACGTGGCGCCGTAGCTGAGTCGGTAAAGGGCCAGCTCGGGAAACCGATGGTCAGAGGTTCGAGGCCCACCAGGAATTCGTTTTCCCCTTTCCGTTTGCAACGGCCGGGCGAAGGCAGCTCAAGTATGATCCAGACGCCGTTTTCTCTCGCCGCCTCGGTAGTGTATTGGATATCGCCTCTGTGGTTGGCCCCGTCCCCCCGGGGGTTGTCGGTTCGAATCCTCGGACCGGCAGCCCTCTCCCCTCCCCTCCCTCCCCCCGGGTCCAACTAGAGAGGCGATATCCGATAACAACCGAGGCTCATTTTGCCATCTGAACAAAGCCTAGCCTAACCTAACCTAACCTAGACTTTAAAAAAGATCAAAATGAGCCTCGGTTGTTATCGGATATCGCCTCTCTAGTTGGACCCGGGGGGAGGGAGGGGAGGGGAGAGGGCTGCCGGTCCGAGGATTCGAACCGACAACCCCCGGGGGGACGGGGCCAACCACAGAGGCGATATCCAATACACTACCGAGGCGGCGAGAGAAAACGGCGTCTGGATCATACTTGAGCTGCCTTCGCCCGGCCGTTGCAAACGGAAAGGGGAAAACGAATTCCTGGTGGGCCTCGAACCTCTGACCATCGGTTTCCCGAGCTGGCCCTTTACCGACTCAGCTACGGCGCCACGTTACTGTTGATCGCTGCGAGAGTCTTGTTTTGCCTTCGCCCCTTCGCAATAGAGAGCGGAGAAGAGAGAAAAGTCGTGGACCGCCCGCTTCGGGTGGGAGTCGTTCCCACACCGAAGCGATCAGTCCCAGACGCCTTAACCCACGCGGCCACTGGCTGCTGGT